CACCAAACTAAGTGACTGGGCAACAAAATGGCAATTGGATTTTAATGTTGATAAATTAATGCACATTGGAAAAAATAATCCCAACTATACATACAATATGATAGGGACTAATTTAGTACAACTACTCAAGAGAGAGATCTTGGAGTCAGTGTGGATAGTTCTCTGAAAACATCCGCTCAGTGTGCAGCAGCAGTGAAAAGAGCAAATAGAATGATAGGAATTATTAACAAAGGGATAGAGAATAAGACAGAAAATATCTTATTGCCTCTATATAAAACCATGGTATGCCCACATCTTGTATAGATGTGGTCACCTCATCTCAAATAAGATATGTTGGCATTGGAAAAGGTTCAGAAAAGGACAACAAAAATGATTAGGGGTTTGGAACAGATCCCCTATGATGAGAGATTAAAAAGACTCCTCTTCTCTAAGATAAAAAGTTCAAAGGGGGGATATGATAGAGGTATATAAAATCATGACTGGTATGGAAAAAGTGAATAAGGAAAAGTTATTTACTTATTCCCACAATGTAAGAACTAGGGGTAAGCAAATAAAATTAATAGGCCACAGGTTTAAAACAAACAACGTTTTTCTTCACTCAGCACACAGTCAGCCTGTGGAACTGCTTGCCAGAAGAAGTGATGAAGGCTAGGACTTTAACAGGGCTCAAAAAAGAGCTAGATAGATTCATGGAGATTAGGTCCATCAATGGATATTAGGCAGGATGGTTAGGAATGATGTCCCTAGCTTCTGATTCTCTGGAGGTGGATGACAGGGGAGGGATCACGTGAGGATTACCTGTTGTGTTCTCTCACTCTGGGGCATCTGGTATTGGCCACTGTTGGCAGACAGGATACTGGGCTGGATGGATCGTTGGTCTGACCCAGTATGGCCATTCTTATGTTTCGGACACCTCCTCTAGCGCTATTTTAATCTCTATTGCAATCCTCTTGAATTGATCCTGGAAGTGAGAAAAGTCATCAGACAGTGGAGATGGAGGTATTATGTCCTTGTCCGATGAAAAAGAGGTATTGGTTGGTGGGGTGGCATCCGGGGCTGGGACCTATGGGACCTGCGTCTCTGGTTCCTCCATGTTCTCTTGTTGCTGAATAGGAGCCTAAATGAGAGAGATGGTATGTGCTGTGTATAGGTTGTAATGTTTGCAGGAGCTTGCATATCTGCTATGTTGCCTCTTGTAGGATTCCCTATGGGCTCCACTGTGGCCATCATGCTGGATATGGCATAGGCAGAGGCAAGTAGGGATGGCCATACCCTAGTGGCATATCACTGTGTTAACGTTCATGGGGGGCAGATCTCATTTGTGGGGAATCAAAGTCTGGCGAGGAAGAGATGGTGAAAAGACAACCTCAATCCCATCATCTTCAACACTTGAGGAATGTGTCCGTTCCAGAGAGACATAATGTGGTGCTGATGGTCTAAGAGAGACATTAGTACTGAAGAGTGGAGATTGTGGTGTCAAGGCAACTGTAAAATCAGCATGACGCATAAATAGTGGTGGTGCCAATGGTAACTATGCTGATGTGTGCATCATTATGAGTTACACAGGTGTTGAGTGTGATGCCGGAGTCATTGGTGCCCTTGTACCAATGGCCTGCTTGGCAGTTGGTGCCAAGGTTGGGATAGATGCTGTTGTTTTGGTAGGAGTGGTTGGTACCGATGCTCTGGACAACTGGGAGTTTGGAGCTCTTATGCTTCGTGCCAATATGTTGGGTGCCGGTTGTAGCTGCACTATAGTCAGTGCTGGAGGTGCTGGGAGTGTCATAAGTCTCACATGAGATGTGTGTCACTGAGGTAGATCTTATAGGTGACCTTTTCTTAGTATTAGCGTCCCCATGCAGTATTGAGGAATGGCTCTTCTTTCATGAAGATTTTGAATTCGGAGAGGCCAGAGGCAAGGGAGCTGGAATAGACTGCTTGCCAGGATCCAAGGGTCGAAGAAAGGATTTTTCCATGAGCAGTAATTTCAGCTTCAAGTCCCTGTCTCTGGGAGCTCTGGCTTTCATTTTGGTGCAGGGAGACTCGTAGGCACCGTGTCCTGGCAGGATGAACAGTTTTTAAACCCAGGGGAGCCCAGCATTTTGGGTAGCTAAGAATTTTTTTTTAAACTAACAAGTAATTAACTAAGAACTAACAAATTTCGCTAAATTAACTGTAATAATAAATGAGGCTTCTTAATTCTTTCAGAGGGACTGTGGAGCTCTGTCTCAGGCCAGCACAGATGAGAAGGAACTGGAGGGCTTGGGCCACTCATGCACAGTTTCAACTCCATGGAGCTCAGTGGCAGTACCTTGCATGTGCAACCTGCGTGGGGCTGCTAGAAATAATCTCCAAACTAGATGCCAGGACAGCACCAAGACCAAGCGTGGAGCACCCATTGGGACCTCTCTCGAGGAAGAATCACAGCATACAATTACAATCCTGCCATATTTGTTGAATACTTAACTATACAGTGAAACATCTATACTATTCCAAGGTTTCAGATTCCTGGCTCACTAGACATATTTATCTGTCCCAGCATGACAGATTCAGATTCTGCACAAGTTTTCATTTTCTTTAAGGAAACAAAAAGGAACCACTATCTAGCCATAAAGACATGTTATCTTCAGAAGCATAACCATATCAGCACCATCTTAGAAAACCTGAAAAACAGCTTTGTAGGATAAATTCTGCAAGGCAATGAGAACTCTTGGCCCCAAGCAGTCAGCAATCAAAACATTTAAGTACATATTTAATTTTAAGGTTAATTTTAAAGTAATCATATACTTCATTGCACTAGAGGTGCACTGCTCAGCACATTACAGAATCAAGCCTCATGAGAGGCAAGAACTGTCCTAATGTATCCAAGTAAGACAATGACTTTAGAAGCCTAATAATGACACTTCAAAGACCAGATTTTCTTATAACTCAGGTTGCAGTTGTGTTTATTCCAATCATGATCTCCCTAAAACACAGTCACCACTACCATCAAGTTAAACTTATCTACCTTAGAAGGAATTCCAAAGATGACTTTACTTACAATTATAAGGATGCAGTTGGAAATATCGCAGTTACAGAACACAACTCATCATAAGTACTCTGTTAGAAAGGAGGAATTCTTTCAGTGAAAACAACTGAGCATTATAATGGTGTTCCTTTATTCACAAAACATACACAGGAATACCCCTGCTGTAGAAAGTTTCTATTTGCTGTCAGAACAGTTTCTTTTTGTTCTTGTTCAAAAATCCTCACTACCCGTTTAAATGACATGTTTAAAATGCCCTTGCAGGCAGCACATGACATTATATTAAGGACAGGCTGAAGAAAACTGTAACTCAGTCTCTCCCACAATTTTGCAAACTCTAAACACGTAATACTTTTAAAAATGTTTTGGAAAACAGCTATATAAAATGGTTACTGGACAATCAAAAGCTAGTCTGGCCTGGTCAAATGTCACTAGCAATTCAAAAAAGCTGCAAGCTTGCACTGATAAATACTATGTATATTAATTAACCTACATGGCAGTTCTGTGGGTGAAACAATACTAGATAGCCAATAGTCAACATCATTTAGTTGTAGAAAAAATTAAAAAAGATTTAACTAGTCTGTTATTTTCCCACAGTTGCTCTCACTTGGGCAGTTGTGCCCTAACTGCATTTGGCTAACAATCTATGTGTACTCCCTACACCGGTTTTCATTTTCAGCCACAGGTCAAAGGTTTCAGTTAATGAATGCACAACATTAAGTTTAGTTCAGACTAGGCAGTGGGACATAGGTACAGGTTGAACCTCCCAAATCTGGGACTCTCTGGTCTGGCAAAATCTACGGTCTGGCAGGGCCACAGATGTTGCTGGACCAAAGAGCCCCAGAGTAGAAGCAATGCAGGGGTTAGGGAGCCTTGGCTGGAATAGGTGGCATCTGGGGAGCCCCTCCTGGCCCTAGCCAGGGAACCCACTGCATTAGCAGAGCAAGTGACTGGGGAACCCCTGGCGTTAATAGAGCCAGCAGAGGATGGGAGCTCCTACCCCAGCTGGGGAACCCCCAGTGTCAGCTGGGCCATGTGACTGGGGAGTCCCAGCCCCAGCCCCAGCCAGGGAATCCCTGGTTGCAGCACGTGGCCCAGGCCAGGAGCCACTCAGTAGCAGTAGGGCTGGGATGACCAGGCAGTTGCTGCTGGGGAACCACTGGCTGACGTGGGGATGGCGAAGGTGGGCAGCTGGAATCCCTAGCGGCAGTGGGACGGGGTGGCCAGGTGGCCCTGGCTGAGGAACCCTGGTGCAGCAAGGTCAGCAGCAGCCGGGTGGCCCCTGCCAGGAACCCTGGGGAACACTCTGTGGCAGTGGGGCCAGCAGTATCCAAAGGTCCTAAGCCGGAGCCCAGGACTGATGCAGCCAGCAGGGAAGCAGTGACCTCCCCTGGTCCAGCAAACTCCAAACTCCATGGTTCAGGACAGCTCAGGTCCTGAGGGTGCCAGACCAGAGAGATCCAACTTGTAGTAGCCAAGAAGGTGAGAGATACAACTCCATGCTCTGCCCCTACTGCCAAGAGACAGGATTGGATGGCAGGGGCATTACCCCATTCTGTTCATTCTTCTGATACAGGTCACTATGAGAGGAGAGGATACTGGGCTAGGTGGACCACTGGCCTGATACAGTATGGCCATTCTTATAGTACGTTCTTTATGCTATTGCTGAAACTTGAAAAACACTATTTCCTGGAAAGAATTTGAATAATTTTATATATTTTTAAATTTACTTTGCTGCTGTAAAATGTAACTACAGTATATGTAGTATTTTACAATAATCCATTGTTCAGAAATGCCTGAAATTATACTTACACATATAATCTAACACTTGGTATCAAGGAATTAATTTGACGAGAAACTGTTCTTTCCAAGAATTTGGGTGCACAGGATAGAAAGATTTCAGTTTTAATAACCTCTCCCTACTGGACCATGTCTAGTTCAATAATCTCCTATTTATATCTACCTTTATTTCACTTACAAGATATCATTAAGTAGTCTTCAGATGTGCTCTTGCCATCATCATCATCTTCAGTTTTTATTGTAACCGTAGAACCAGGAACAGTACTGGCTGCTTGAATCACAGTTTCTGTATCTGAATTAGTTACAAGAACTTCTTCTGAAACCATTGTGGGCGAGTCAGGTCCTGACACAGAGTCTTGCACAACATGTTCCAAATGTCCATCAGGACCCGTAACAAGGTCAGCCACAAAAACCTGATCAGGAACTCTAACAGTTTCTGTTATTAGATCAGAAGTCAAAACATGATCACTGGTATCTAAATCTTCTTCAATAGCAACATCAGCTTCCAATACAGATTCAGGAACAATTACACCTTCTGTTACAACATCATTTTCAGTGATGATATCAGGTCCTTGGACAACTTCAGCAGCTAAACCATGATCAAGAGTTATCCCGTCATCTGCGACAACATCAGAAACTAGTACAGCTTCAGGAACTGATACAACAATATGGTCTCCATCAATGTGAGCAGTGCCAGCCATTCCAGCCACTATGAAACAATTGTAAATGAGGGAAAATATGTTAACATTTACACTACCGTATTACAGTACTGTAAGGTAGAGGCTATGCATTCCAACAAATGTCATTACATTTTACGTATCTCCATGTAAGGATGAACACGATTTTACAATATTCTTTGATATTAAATTTAAATGAAAAGGACAAAAATCTCCCAGACATTTATTTTAAAACAGGGGCATGGAAACTTTGTAAGGCCCCCGACTGAGAAGGCGAAAGACACTTCCCACACCCGAGTCTACGGAGGATGGTAGATTGTATGTGCTCTAGACCCATTAGGTTGGGGGGGGGCAGCAGGAACTGGAGTGCCAGCATGGCTCCCTGATGCTGGAGGGGAGTCCTGAGTCCCGGGGACTGGATCCAGTAAGATGTAGGCCAAATGTGGCACCCGAACCTTAAGTTGCCCACCCCTGCTTTAAAAGGAACATTAGTTTTAAACCTACCCTCCCTCCCCAATTTAGGTTTGATAAAATTGAGATTTAAAAGCCAAAGATCAGTAGTTGATTCCATTATATGTATTCTAAAACAAAATTAAATGATTTTTATATTATACTAGCAAACTGAACATTGTGTTACTTTGTTGGTGCAACAAAGCCAACAACAAAAGCTGACTAAAACAGCATGAAACTGTTTGACTTTGTTGTGACACAAGAGAAGAGTTTCTTTAAACATATCAAGAACTGGAGAGTTCAAACTGTGAAAAATATCACTTTACTTGCATATCAAATAATGCAGAGGCTTCAATTATTCACTGGTAAATATTAACAATTTTCTTTCTACAAAACATAGCAGACAGTGATCTGGGTTGCAAATGAAGCCATGTTAGAAATATCCAATTATCTGAAAGCTTAAGTAAAAGCAATAATCATGAACAATGCACTTTTAAAATTAAAGTGGAAAAATATTTTCCATTTTGATTGTAACTGTAATTTATTTGGAACAATCACAGACTTATGCCATTAAAACTAGCTCTGCTTTTTTATTATAAATAATAAAAAAGCCCCTCTACTGATAGATGGCAGGGTTAGGCACCTGCAAGTCCAAGAAAGTCAAGACAGCCTACTGGCCCCTACCTCCCAAAACCAGAGGCTGAAGCAATTAATGTTTACCCTGTCTACATGAGAAAACAGCAGCAATTTATTTAAATTAGTTTAGAAACTCCTTTAGTTAAATCAATTAAACATCTTGCATAGACACATTTTAATTTAGGAGCTTCTTTAAACATAATTAATTGAAAAGATGCTTTTCCCATTTAGGAAAATTGTATTTGCTTTCCTCTCTACACACAGGTGTGTATGCAGGGGGAATACAAGATAGTAGCTGGTTGGCATGCCATAAAAATATATATCAGAAGGAACTCAAGCTACTACGCTTCAGGAGAGCCTAAGTGGTAATGTGGAACACCAAGATTTAAGCAATTTTTTTACAGATCACGGGCCATCCATAGTGGATAAAAGCCTTGTCTGTTCTACAAGGAGGACAAAGGATGGTAGAATGACAGGATTTAGCTTAATAGATCAAAACGAAACAGCAATTAAAAATATGAACAAACAGTAACTCCTCACTTAACACTGTAGTTACGTTCCATAAAAATGCTACTTTACGTGAAACAATGGTGAGTCCAATTTCCCAATAAGAATTAATGTAAATGTAGTGAAGCATTGGAATGGGTTACCTATGGAAGTAGTGGAGTCTCCATCCCTAGAGGTATTTAAGTCTCGGCTTGACAAAGCCCTGGCCGGGTTGATTTAGATGGGATTGGTCCTGCCTAGAGTGGGGGGCTGTACTTGATGACCTTCTGGGGTCTCTTCCAGTTCTATGATTCTATGATAAGGGGATGGTTGGATGAAATAACATGATCTTGGTAACTAATTGACCATTCATTATCAGTTGGAAATAGGTCAATGGAGGGATGATAGGAGTTGCTATAGGGAACTTTCTGGGTGTCTGGCTGGTGAGTCTTGCCCACATGCTCAGGGTTTAGCTGATCGCCATATTTGGGGTCAGGAAGGAATTTTCCTCCAGGGTAGATTGGCAGAGGCCCTGGAGGTTTTTCGCCTTCCTCTGTAGCATTGGGCACGGATCACAGCTGGAGGACTCTCTGCATGTTGGGGCCTTCAAAGTATTTGAAGGCTTCAATATCTGAGATATAGGTGAGAGGATTATTCTAAGAGGGGTGGGTGAGATTCTGTGGCCTGCACTGTGCAGGGGGTCAGACTAGATGATCATAATGGTCCCTTCTGACCTTAAAGTCTATGAGTCTATGAGGGGGAGTGAGGGGAGGACTAGAGAATTCTTTTTAGCAGACAAAAGACTGTGTGTGTACTGTATAAGTTTTAAACAATTGTATATAATTTAATACTATACACAGCAATGATAATTACAAGGCTTGGTTGAGATGGTGGAATCATGGGGTGGAATATTTCCCAGGGAAGGTCTTGCTACTAAATAATGAACTGAGCCCTCAAGGTTAACATGTGGTTAATGCAGCCTCACACTTTACAAGGCAGCATGGACTGAAGTAGGAGGGAGGAAACATAATAGATGCAAGGCAGTGGCTGCAAACACTTCCCTGCAGAAACTGAACATGATGATGAACCCATATGATTTTGCCAGAGGACACCACTCTCCTCTCTGGATTAAGGATGTTAAAATGTGGTTAACTGACTAGTCAACGGAATTTCCACTGACTAGTTGATAGGCACTTCCGTATTCCCACTTTGAAATGTACAAAAGCCCCCCATTTCAAAGGAGGAATGTGGAACTCCGTGTATAGCCTGGGACCAACGGGAAGTCCCGCTGACTCCAGACTGCACATAGGTGCCTGCTTTGCGGGGGCTCTTGTGCATTTCAAAGTCATGGAGCCTGGGGTCAGTGGAGGACTTCCCAGCTGACCCCAGCCTTCACTGCCCCTTTGAAATGCATGGAGATGGCATTTCAAAGAGGCAGTGGAGCCTGAGGTTAGCTGGGAACTCCCCAGCTGACCCAAGGTTCCCTGCAGCATTACTCCAGAACCCGGGATCAGCTGGGGATTCCCCAGCTAATCTCAGGTTCTGGAGTAATGCTGCAGGGAACCTTGGGTCAGCTGAGAGTCCCCAGCTGAACCCGGGCTCCGTTATAGCTGCCACTTTGAAACGCTGCCTGGGGGTTTCAAAGCAGCAGTGCTGCACATGTGCAGCACTGCCACTTTGAAGTACCCTTTCTTCCCCCAAACTATTATTGGATAGTCTAACTAGTCTTTAACATCTCCACTCTGGATAGTGCATTGTGCCAAAGATGTGTGAGAGTGAGAGACAGACAGAGATGCATATTTCCCCTTTAAGTATGCACCCCACATTGTATACACTGCCCTTTTAAGTAGACCATGTAGTTCAGACCTAGGAATCTTTATCTGTGTAACCTGCTTTGTGGAGATGGGGTACAGATGAGGGGTTTGATCAGAGGGACACCCTGACATTAGTGCAAACACATAGCAAGCAGCAGCTCCAAGGGAGAGGGCAGGAGCAGCAGAGCCGGGGGGGACGGGGAGAGAGAGAGAGGCAGTTGAACTGCAGCTGCCCAGCCACATTCCTTACAGGGAACTTAGGAAAGCTGATGGGGGGCTGCCAGTCCACCCAGGTTCCAAACCCCTGAAGAACAGGCTGCTTTTCCAGAAAATCCTGCAAATAATGGACAAAAGAAGGAGGCCAAATGATGTTATAAGAGAGTACTGCATAACTTTAAATGACCACGCGCTCTAATAAGAAGCAACATAACAATGTTAACCAGGACAACATTAAGTGAGGAGTTCCTGTACATACAAAAAAACCACCACACTGTTTTTCAAGATAGAGAGGGCGGTTCAACAAGATTTTTAAGGATTTCATACTGTAAGCTACTGAATGTCGACTGAATCAGTGAGGATTAAGGGCACTTACAAGTACAGAGGAGGCATTCAGAACTTTTACAAATTGCTCTTTAGTCTACTCACTGAAGTTCTACTTCACACAGAATTAACATTGCAATTGTTAAAATTGATGAAGATTTTTTCTACAGCAGCAACTAAAGTGTATACTCATAAAAGTGGAATTCAAATATGTATGCCTTGTTTCCTCTGTAGGGAACTTTGAAGACAAAATTAAATACATGTGAAATATTATTATAGACTGCTAAAGTCAACCTTCCATTAGCGTATGAGCTACAGTCAATGATACAGAAAATACGTTTTATTTAGAAGATCTCACCCACTTTAAGCATTAGTGTTTAAAAATAATATGTTTTACCAAAATCTTGCATAATCATAGTGTGAGGCATTTTGGACTCGTGTGTCTGCAATCCAAGGCTCCCACCACCTGGATCCATAGTCAGCTAAGCTCTTTCACAAATAGCTGTAAAAACAGAATTATACATTATATTAAAAGAGTTTTGTCTTAATGTCTGTTTAACTCTACTGGACTAAAATCTGATAGAAGACCATAAGTGCAGATGTGGAAATATATCCCTGAAAAAGTGAAGAAGAAAAAAAAAGATGCTACCTCACACAATTCAGTTTTACGAACCTGTATTAAATCTCAATCCTGAAAACACATCCATGAGTAATTTGATAAAGCCAAAAAGTATAAAATGAACAAAATTATGCAAGTGCAAGTATTTGCTGGACTAGACCAAGTTACAAAGTGTTATGATCTAGTATTGTTTAGCTTATCACATGCAAGAATTTACCTAGAATGTGGTAACAGCTCAGAGGGGTAGCAGTGTTAGTCTGTAGCTTTAAAAACAACGAGTAGTCCTGCAGTCCTGTTAAAGACTAACAACATTTATTAGCTTTCGTGGACAATACCCACCTCTTCAGATGAGATGAGCTTGAGTTCACTAGAATGTGCTACTGGAACATAACACTCAGAATACCAGACAGACATACTTTTACCTCAACAGGCAATACAATACTAATTTTAACACTGTTAGGAGTACAATCTACTATATAGATGCACAAACTTGCTCAAATGTTTGTTTGTTCAAGAATTACTCCTAAATTGTAAGAGCTATGATCACCAATTTGGTATGCAGCTTCATTTTATCATAACTTAAAGAAAGAACAGGGTATGTTCGTGTCAGGACAATGGGATGTCCATGGAACGTGATTGTTTCTCAAATAGAAGGGAAATGTTTATGATAGCAGGGACAGTTATATCCAGCACGATCACAAGGAAGTGATGATCGTGGCTAGACAGCATTGCCCCGGCAAGCAATGGTGGCGGCTGCCTTCACCCTCTGGCCTGACTCCTGCGCCCCACCCTCTCCCCTAAGCCTCCCACATCTCTCAACCTCCTGCCCCTACTCCTGCACACTCACCCCTGCCTGAACCCCCACCTCCTGCCCTGACTCCTGCACTCCTTGACACTACAAGCCCCTTGCCCTGAGCCCCCCACATCCTCAAGCCCCTGCCCTGACCCCTGCACTCACACCTCAAGCACGGTATCCTGAAAGATCTGAGCAACGCAGGGTAAATCTTCTAGTGTGAAAATATGCTCAAATTCTCTCCATAGTATGACTCATTAAAATGTCAAAAGCACTACTGACAATAGCAACAAATTCTGTGCCAGTATTACTTAATAACTAAGGACAGTTCCCTAGACATATAAAAACATATTAAACACACAAAAAACTGTCATGAACCAGTTTGGATTGCTACATGTACAACTTACCTACCCACAAAAATAAGCAAATCAAAGATATGCCACCTAACAAGTACACAAACAACCCACAAAGCATGTGCTTAAACATTATAACTGCAATACTCTACAGACCAACATCTTAACTCTGCCCCATTTTATCCTTCTGAATATAAATTTTTCCCGATTGCTTCCTTCCTTCCCCAACATTAGCATTTGTAGTCATTTAGGCTACGTCTACACTACATGCTTCTTACACAAGAAGCCTTTTGCGCAAGAGTTTTTTCACAAAAAATTATTGCGCAAGAGCACGTCCACACCTCAAAGCACATTACAAAAACCATGTGCCTTTGTGCAAGATAGCGTCCACACTGCATGGATGCTCTTGTGCAAGAAAGCTCTGATGGCCATTCACAGAATGGCCATCAGAGCACCTTTGCTTTTTCCCCACAGGGGTTTCTTGCACAAGAAGCCATCTGGAACATCCACACCTGCCTTTTTGTGCAATAGCTGTAGTGCAAAAAGGAGCTAAGCCTCATAAAAGGAGGTTTACCCATGCCAGAAAAAGCCCTTCCTTCTGCTGTTTTACTGTTCATTTACTTGCGCAAAAGTGCATTTGAGGTGTGGATGCTCTACGGGTTTTTGTGCAAAAACAGATTGTTTTGCACAAAAACCCTGCAGTGTAGACGTAGCCCTGGTGAAGAAGATTGTGATGAGAGAGGATAGTTTGGTAAAGGGTTGTGGTTGTAAAGGCAGTTAAAGGGAATGATGAAAACTGACATTTCAGGTGGGTACCTGGTTTAAGTTACCAGAGGATGGCTGTAGCATATTATAATTGTGGTAATAGTAAGGAGGAGACTTTGTGTGTCTTTGCTTTTGAGAATTTGCCAGGTAGTATGTGTGTGATTCACAAAAATGTTTACATATAACTTATGCAGGGATTTTTAGAAATTAAAGTTTAATTGGAATGCAGTTAGGAAAAAGTAGTGGGCAGACCTGTCAGGGTAGAAGTGCTGCTGATGGAAAACATTTCATCTGTCAGTAGCTAAATATTAACCCTTATGTAATAGGATAAAATCTGACAAAAGTGTAGCTCCTATGGATTTGTTTGTATAGCTTTGTTAGCTATAGGTATAAATCAAGTTTTGCACTAACTGACTTCCATCCACAGAGGCAGCAGCAGAGGTGTGTGTGTGTGGCTGGGGGGGAGACGGGGGGGGGGGGGGGGAGAAAAGGAAGGGGGGA